ATATAATATATATATTCATTCATATACATATATATATATATATATTCATATATATATATATATATATTCTCAGGAGTTCGATGTACTGACCTTGCGGTAGTATTCTGCATATCTCAGGTCAAAAGTATTCTTACATATTTTCGTGATCGTCTGCCAACTTACTATATTACAGGGTGTGTTCCAGTCTTTGAACATCGAGAGGAAGGGGATGACAATCGCCAAGTTTGAAGAAATGTGCGCCAAAGATAAATTTAAACCTCCCACCTCACGCACTGACCACGAAATGGAACGGTGAGCATTCGTGACAGCTCACTTATTTAGCATCGCAAAGCTTTTGTTATAAATTGGGTTAAATTGTTTTAAATTTGGTCTATTGCTATAGGTTGCTATTGGGTTTTGAGTTAGCGTGATCACGCTGCAGACGAGGTCACGGCTATGCCTAGTTGCCTCGTTAATATCTAGTTATGTAACGGATGTTGTGTCAAGAAGTATATCTTGCATAAAATCTAACATACCGTTTTACATATACGTATATCTCTACTCAAAACGTCTTGCTCAAATAGGACGTTCTGGAAGACAGTGACATATAACGCCCCGTTCTATGGAGCTGATATTCCCGGGTCTCTTTTCGACGAGGACCAGGAAGTTTGGAACTTGAACCATCTCGATACAATACTCAATCTGCTGGATGAGATGGGTGTGTGCGCTCCTTCTTATTTGTATTTCTTTACCTCTACTGTGTTGTTGAATATTGCGGCATTGCACATATCTCCGGTTGTACAATCACACCATTTGCTGATAGCAAACATCCGTACCCTATGACGCACATCGCAAGTGGCCCATCGGATCAGTTTTGTTCAAATTTTAGAGAGGTACTTAGACAGATTTTGATTTCAGTGTCTGTTTGCTCGTGCAGTTGAGTCTTGGCAATTCTCGGGCACCTCCCCTGCATACAGGAAAACACGGGCCATCTCTATTTAGTATGTAGTGCCTGTTTCTCTCGCTCTACTCATGTTGCTATATATTGCGCCTCTGCAGAGCACAGTATCCTTGGGGTGAATTCCGCTTATCTGTACTTTGGCATGTGGAAGACTTCCTTCGCATGGCACAAGGAGGATATGGATCTGTACTCAATCAATTATCTGCACTACGGAGCACCCAAGTCCTGGTAAGGCTATACAATTTGGGTCTATTTCGTCACAACTCAGCTATGTTGTAGTGTTAGTAAATGAATCTCCTGGGGCAGACTGAGGCAGGCTGATATTGTCGTCGACTTGCTTGTGTGATGTCGCATTAGGTCTCGCTTTGCAGTTGTGGTCGCCTTCGTCTCGGTGTCTGACCCAGAGTCAGTGTGAGCTCTGATGAGGAGAATGTCTGTGCCACCAGTTAGGCGGATTATACCAAACTGTCACTGAACCCCACAGTACATCTGTGTGCGCAAGACCTTTCATAGCACTTGGTTACACCCTGTTGGTGAACCAGTGGCAGTCTCATGTAGACAGATTGTATACACAGATAGAGGTACATATCTACTACGTGCTGTGTGCATATCTGACCCTTCAGCGTAGAGACAACGTGTTCTTGTGTTTCAGCGAAAGCAGCAAGCATGTTAGACGCTATCGCTGCTTTGTACACTCACTATTGTTATCATTAAAAGGTGTTGTTTGTTGGCACTCTCAAATTCTTGTTCCTCCCAGCCTTTCACTCTACACTCTCATCACCACTAAACCTCACACGCACCATTTCAGACTTTTGTGTGCGGAATTCTTCCATTGATTGTCGAACTATGTGTTGTATGTTCGCATCTCCAGGTATATCGTCCCACCGGCCAGCCAAGGGCGTCTCGAAACACTCGCCAAGGGGTACTATCCCGATGCCTTCAGGCAGTGTTCCGAGTTTCTCAGACACAAGTCAACGCTTATATCCCCCATAGCCATGAAGAAAGGACTGGTGCCGTTTGGACGGGCCGTGCAGAGGGTTGGCGAGTTCATGATCACGTTCCCGGGCGGATATCATTCGGTAAGCGTGTGGGTGAGTCGACGTGTGTGCATGTAGTGCGGCATGGCGCTGTGTTGCTGGTTGTTGTTCATCTGCATGTGTATATAACGGATGCAGTTTGCGCACATTGGGCTCAAACATTGGATATACCCCCAAACTCTAAAACCATATGTTGTCATCGTCTACATCCGCCTGTAGCACCCACCCCCCATTTTCTTTCTCGAAATTTCAGTTATTTTGGTATTCTGTTTCGGGTATATCCATCCCTTTCATCTATGTTTGCAACCCAAATACCCTTACCACCGTAAGTCTCACCGCCTAACAAGCCAGCATTCAAAACCTAACTGTATAAATACAGGGCTTCAACCACGGGTACAACTGTGCTGAGGCCACGAACTTTGGGTCCGAGATGTGGGTCGGTAAGTGGAGTTGATCAAAACCTTTCTCTGTTTCTGTTGGCACGCAGTTGTTCCCGTACTCATATATGAACTCTCAGCTGACTTTATACGCTCGAATAAACACATCTAAGGACGTATTGCTATGATCTTTTCTTCATTCCCGCGAGTGCTGTGCATGCGTGTGTTCCGCCGCCATACTAACAGAATGACTACGACATACCTATGTTTACAATTCCTGAGCACGCCCACACCCATCTGTGCAGTTGATGAGTATTGTCGTACCTATCTGAAACCTTGACCGAGCCTCACTAGTTGTACACAAAATCAGCTAACGCGTGTACCGTGTCAGGTCTATACTGAACGGACATTAACCACCAACAACTGCCACCAACGTATCTCTCACAGCGATTGGAATGGCCGCCAAAGCGTGTCGCTGCATATCAGACTCTGTGCGCATAGACATGAAGCCGTTTGTGCGCAAGTTCCATCCGGAGCTGTACATCCCCACTCCTTCGGTGTTCTCGTCTTCGTCTTCTTCCGCGTCAGAGGTGTGGATAGTGTAGTGACGACGTGTGTGGTGGGATCAGTTGAGTGTCTGTGTGGTATAGCGTGGCCATTGGCAGCGACTCGGCCGTTTTTGTCGCTCATTTCGTGAGCGGGTGTACACACCTGTGCGTTTCTGTCTGTGTTTAGAGATAGGTCGTGTATGCCTAAATCTGTTTGAGTCTACATAGGCCTGTATACGTTCGAGTACATTTGACGCCAGCTAGTGTGAAGGGTTGGCATCTTACGCTTCACCAGTGCACAACTAGCTTCAGATGAGTGCTCACATTTGCATTTTGACTATGCTAGGGTTCTGACACTGAGTCAAAGGATGTGAAGGCGAGAGAGACTCCCAGGCGGGGACGAGGTCGAAGTAGGGGTCGCGGAAGGGGGGTGGGCCGCCCGACAAATCAGATCAGAGTTAAAAAAGCTACGAACAAGCGAAGCACCAATAAGAAGCCAAAGAAAGCGAAGGCAAAGGTCAAGGCGATGATTGAAGACCCCGTTGAGGTAGCACGACGAGTGTTGTTTGCGGAGGAGTGTAAGATCAATTGGCACGAGGCCAGGAAGGTAGGTATACGCTCGTGGGTAGGCGGTAGCGAGGTAGGTCTTGAAGGTGCACATAACGCAGAGAAATCGCACACGCGGAAGCTGACGCTTAGATTGAGCATGCCAGCTAAGGGAGGTACGGTGGGTGACAAGGTAGTACATATGCAAACGAAGGAAGATGTACACGCAGAAGCTGGGAGAAACACTCTAGCAGATGCGCACACAGCAGGTACAGACTCACAAGATGAAAACAAGCATGCAACGGTTGGCGAGGAAGCTGAGCATGGAAGCGATAACACTCGCACAGACGGGGCCAGTGAAACAGCTGTACACAGCGAGAAGGAGGTTGCATCGGTGGCTATGGTAGAAAGAACAATTCCGAACGATCGTATTGAAACGCAAATGTTTCCGTCGCCTTGCTTAACGGAAGAACAGACATTGAGCGAGGGAACTCACAATATGCCAATGGATGACGATAGGAACACCGAATCGGATAATGAGGACACTTTGTCGGATAACGAACCGATCCTTTCACGTGCTAGAGACGAACTGGGCGCACGCGCTAACAAAGAGAATATCGCATTAAACGGGAGAAACGCCGTACTGGGCCATGACCAGGTCGCGAAAGTGGCGAGGAGAGACTATGCATGGACATCGCTGCAGTGTGCTGTGTGTGATGGATTGAGCTCTCCTGTTGTGGCCTGTCCCGTCACTGATGGCTTCAAAGCACCCGAATGTAAGGCCAAAGTAAAGAAGGCGAGGAAGAAGAAGGTCATCGGTATGTTGTGGTGTGGCGTGTATCCCTGCTCTGGCTACAGTCCATGCGGCATTTCTTTCCTGTGCGTCGTTCTAGATATGTTAACATACATTCAGCCACAGTTGCTTATCCTTACACACACACTCTCTCTCTCTCGCTCTCTCTTTATGTGTGTGTCTGTCTGTCTCGCTCTGCGTTTCAGCTGAGCAAGCGGTTGAGCGGATAACGTACAATAGAGAAGGGAACACAGAAATCTTCCCCATCCGTTCGGCGTCAGTTCACACTCAGGACGAACCGGAACCTACTGAACTGTTCACAAACCCTGATCAGATAACCGATACAAGTGATATTTTATCAAACGACCAATCCGATCCCCGAGATGGTCTTTGCTCAACCCCCAGTAGCGCGAGTCGTGTCGAGGGGCAGGAAGAAGTTGTTTGTATTGGAGTTGACTCGGCGATACAAAACATAGTCAGTACCGAAAGGACGGAGCGTGATGATAGTCTTGTCTTCGCGCGCGACGGTGACGAAAACCACCGTCCCGCTATGGCGGGGGAGCATCCCGGTGTATTGGTGTGTGCCAATTGCGCTGTGGCCACACATACAGGTAAGTGTACGACATGTGGTTTGCTGGTGCTTGTATACAGAGCAAATACATACGTTTCTTATATGACAGGTGATGGTTTGCGTATGTATATACGTTTCTTGTGTTACAGGGGATGGTTTGCGTATGTATATGCGTTTCTTATATGGCAGGTGCTAGTTTGCGTATGTATATACGTGTCGTGTATGACAGGTGATCGTTTGCGTATGTATATACGTTTCTTGTCTTACAGGGGATGGTTTGCGTATGTATATCCGTGTCGTATATGACAGGTGATGATTTGCGTATGTATGATATGTGTACTCCTGCAGGTGTGTGTTTGTGATTGACCCTGTGCCTGTACTGTGTACCGAGCTGTCTCTCATTGTTGTCATGGGAGAATGTCACATATTGCTGTGTGCCTCTGTAACTCATTCGGAGCTTAAACTAGATCGTGGGACTAGGTCGTGAGTAGTGGTAAAGTGTAGCATCAGCACGTACCTACGTGCCGGTGATCAATGTTAAACCTCATCCGCAGATGGGTATCGACGTGTGGCCTTGCAGGTTACAGACTGTCTTCGTTGGGGCTATAACGTAGTTGGTATAGGTCTTCACACCGTATGTCTACCTCGTGTAGTACACACCTTCCCTGATGCCAAATCACGCCAGGCACACTTTCCACCAGCAGCGCATCCCTGTCGTGCGCCTGTTTCTCCTTCATCACTACACCTAAAGCAACTGCTCCGGAGAGCTTCCTATAAATTAGCAGCCCGTTTAGGTTGAATTGTACCCTACTCGTATACTAACACTACCTCCGTACGGCATCGCACCAGCCTGCTGTGGTCTTCACTCGATGCCAGATACCATCAGAACCAACGGATGGCTTTGTCGACGGTGCGATCTGATTGGCTCTCGCTCCGTGTCCTGCGGACTCTGCCCCAGAAAGGGCGGGCTTATGATGCCCTCGATCTACCCCAGAGGCTGGGTGCATGCGAGCTGTGCTATGTGGATATCGGAAAGTAGACACATTAGAGTGAAGGCCAAGTCCAGTACTGTATCCAAGAGGGGGTCCCCATTTAAACCCGAGAGTCCGGGAATTGGGAATGGGGTGGGGTTAGGTGAGATACTGCAAGGCGTGGATGTGGACAGTGCATCCCCGCAAGCGGAGGGTAATGCGCAGAAACAAATAGCCATGGATAGTCCATCGCATTTCAGTACTGGGCTGTCTACAGATAGCAGTGTGCACACACACGGACGAACAGCGGCAAAGCAAGCCGAGCCACGGGCTTATGAATCGCGAGAAACGCAAGACACGGACACGTCTGCATGTGAGGATGCGCATAGTTGTATGGACAGTCCCATGTCTAGGGAGATCAGCCAATGGAAGCAGCTTGAAACCAAAGAAGATACGTATAGGTGTATAGACAATCCCATGTCTAGGGAGATTAGCCAATGGGCGCAGCTAGACACCGACCAGCAGATCCACGCACATGCACCCCTCCACTCACACGTACATAATCGCCCGAACACCCACGCACACACACATAAACACCACCACAAGCATGCACACAAACATTCGCATACATATAATGGAACGGGTAACGGAGGACTCGAAGAGATCGAACGCACAGAGAGCTTGCCGAATGCAAACGGCTATGATAATGCGAGAGTTTTGAAAATGGGTTTATCCGGACCAAAAAAACTAGATGCTGGGAGTACAGAACAGCTCAGCCCCAACTGTGTCGACCACGTGGCCCAGCCACATGACGACGCGGTTGTTATGGCAATCCAGTCCCCCAAAAATTTCATGAGCGAGGGCGAAGCAGCCGTAAGTGAGGAGGGTGCGGAGAGTCCAAAAAGCCACCTTGCTCCTGAAGAACCCAAAACGCAGCCCAAAACGCTGAAAGTGGTGCTATCAAAACCCTCCAAGCCCAGCGAAGCCAAGGTCGAGACTTTGGGAACGGCTTTTGAGGTCGAGAGCGGCGGAGAGGAGTCAGAATACGATGACAATGAGCAGCTCAAACCACCGGTTGGCAGTAGAGTGCTTCCTTTGGACTGTGTGTGGGATCTGTCGCGGATACCTATCGAGCGGTACAGACTGGTAAGTTGGGCTAATATAACAATATATATA